AATAATAATAAGTCCCCCCTACTCGGGAATCGAATTCGGTTCTTCTGCACGCAACGTCTTTGAGCCTACCCACTACACCACAGACACCGGTGTGTACCGTTAGTAGTAAACTGTTTATCAGATAAAGGCAATCTTGAAGTTGGTATGGACTTATCAGTGTTGTCTCGGTACGGGTGGTTTTTATATCATATCAGTTTGGTACGTGTTCAGTGTATGTATGTATAGATCTGTGTGCTTGAATCGCAGTATTTGTGGCGTCCGTGGCCTAGTGGTTAGTCTCTCAGACTCGCAATCGTATGGTTGAGGTTTCGAATCCCGTCAGAGGCCCGACGTTTTGTTCTTGGGAAAAGCACTATAAACGAATTTTCCTCACTTCACTCAGGTGGGAATGAGAACCCAGCTACAGACAGTGAAAGATCTTGTCAGTTTGTTAGTTTTCAGCGCTTAATCAGCTGCTTGCACTGCATGCTTCCCGGGAAGCTGAGAATGTTTCTGAGTTTTCTATGGTCTGCATGGGTAATCGGGTAATAACATAGTGTAAGGCGCAGAGAATCGCTAAAGACAGAGAAAATAAAATAGAAGTAACAGAAATGTGGTATCTTACGAGACTGCTGAGGATATCGTGGAAGGAAAAGAAATCAAATGAGGCAGTGCTTGATGAAACCTATGTGGGATGCTCAATGTTAAAAACAATCAGGAAACGACGCAATGTTAAAAACAATCAGGAAAAGACGACAGTTTTTGGGCCACCTCATGAGACATAAAGGTCTTGAACATTGAGCTCTCACTGGCCAACTTGAAGTCGAAAGAGGCAACGGTAGGCCAAGAGCAACTTACTTAGGAAACCTAAACAAATGGGTAACGGGGAAAGATCAAGGAAACTTAGCTTTTTTAAGAGCATCCGAGCAAAGGAATGAATGGAGAACCATGATCGCCGATGTCTGTCGCAGATCTGGCACAGGATGATGAACACGCTAAGAGCTTAGTGTAGAGAGGGGATGTGCGCTATAAAAATTATTATTATTATTATTATTATTATTATTATTATTATTATGATAATCATCATCACCATCATTTGCATACAATTTTGTGAATGTGTTTGTGTATGCTGCTTTCTCCCTCCCTCCCCCTTTCTCTGTCTGTGTGTCTGTCTGTGTGCCTGTCTGTCTGTCTCTTTCTCACTTCCTCTTTCTCATTTCCCTTTTAGTCAATGCAAATCTCTCTCTCATTGTGTGTATTTGCTGTTTTTGTGGGGGAAAAAAAACGTAACGTTATAACTGTACTTGAGGAAAGTTTGATCCTGAACCCGCCCCTCTTTTGTAATCGAACAGTTTATGTAAAAGCAGTAGTAGGGTATCGAAACTGGTAAATGGTCATTCACATCTTTGAGCATTGCATGTGTATGTCTTAGTTACCCCTGCTTATCACAGGGAGGTAGGAATAAGACTCCGAGCAGGATACAATATTTTATGCTGTATTTCAATTTTTGAAATGGGATAATAATCAAAGAGGACTAAGAATGAGATAAAACAGGCTTTTTAGTAAACATTTTAAAACTCATTCTCTTGACAAAATGTACTGCGATAATTTCCGCCTGCGCAAATTCTTTTTTTCACTCTGCTCTAGTGTCGCAGTTTTCGTATGTTTCTTTTTCTCTGTTGTTACAACGCTTGCAAAACTTTTACCATCAACACATCGTGTGACGTCCGCCTAGGCATCGTTTGACACCTAGTTTGTGCATTCTCGCAGCTCCAGACATATGATAAACTGGCACCCCCACTCTCACCCCCTATACGCACATATAGGCCTGCCTTCCCCCCCACGCTCTCTGTGTGGATGCAACTATAGTTAAGTAGTTGTGTGAATTCAGCTATATCGATACCGACAGAGACAAATTCAGAATCAGTTTCTCCGGCTGTTGACCTATTTGAACGGGGGTGGGGGTGGGGTGGGGGTTAAGTATCACCCCAAAAGGGGAGGGGGTGGGGTACGGTGGTGGAAGTCAGAATATAAGACAGAGAGATAAAAAGAAGAATTTGAGTGATAGGCGGATCCTATGACCTTTAACTTTTCAGCTGTATGCTGGTTGTTTAAATCATGTTTTTGACATTCCAGTGCCAGACCAGCGTTGTGCACTCAATGTTATAACGGTGAGAGAGAGAGAGAGAGAGAGAGAGAGAGAGAGAGAGAGAGAGAGAGTGGGGGGAGAGAAAGAGGGACACATCACACACACACACACACACACACACACACACACACACACACACACACACACACACACACACACACACACACACACACAGATAGAGAGAGAGAAAGAGAGAGAGAGAGAGAGAGAGGGGGGGGGGGGCAGTATGTCCAGATCCTGGAATCCACAATGTACTCTTACGATTTTATAATAACATTCATTTGCTGATCCCCAGAAAAGTCCCCTGAGATAATGGCTGGTGTGAGAGAGTTTTGGGAGCAGTATCAGGTATCAGTCATTTAGTTTTTTTTGTATATTGTTTTTGTTTTGGTATCATAAACATAGATCTACCCCAAAATGTCATGTGTAAAATAGTACAAAATCCCTTATAGCTTCTTTGATTCCAAACTAACTGACCATTCCTCTATTTGGAGCAGATCAAGGATGTCAAGATCTGAAGGTGAGGAAGTTGTACTAATTTACTTACACTTTTACTGTCCTCTTAAACTGCAGGGTGTCGAGGGCAAATGCAATTAACGGATGTGCGCTAGGTGTGTTGCATTTGGATGAAAATAGTGTGCTTATGAACAGTCTCTTTGACCATTTGCCTCTCTTATGCTCTAAAGCCATTGAATCGTATGCTGTAGGCCTTTGAGGCTGACTGTTGTGGCCCAATTCTGAGCATTCTCAGGGAAGTACATTGTAGTACTTGAGCAACCTACTGATTTCCTCCATGTTTACCACCCTGGCAAAGCTGTATCATTCTTACGGTTTAAAATCGCCTGACAAGATGCAAAAAAGTCGTTCTACCGCTATAGTTTCACAGCTTCAGCTTTATTTCCCACACACATTGACAAATTCAGCACTGACTTTGGACAGCTTGACCTTTTTTTAAAGGTTCACAGTAAAAGAGCTTTTCATATTGTGAGATAATTTTAATTTCGTGATAACGCTGAAAAAAGTACGCTTGAATTATGAAAGCTGGCTATACATGTAGTAATTTAAGATATGCATGGGAAGAATTTTATTGGGCGGGGGCATCCGTATTCTTTTAGTGATAACATTATTGGTGTATCTATGAAACTGGCTTTCACATGCCCTATGTAAAGGCTTTGATATTGAATGATTATTATCTGAAATTTTGACGTTAAGGGGGCTTTTCACACACTTTGATAATGTGATATAAAAAGCATAACAATCATCTCTGTACTCACCTTGTTGGGAAATTACCACCTCGAAACAGGTCAAATGGAGAAAGCAATAATCTATCACAATTCTTTGTAGACTGTTCTAGGAGCTGGGGCAGCGACTCTAGCAGGACTGGCAGCGCTAAGCTACATGACGTCAAATGGCACACCGGTGGAGACTATCGTGGATCTGAACAATCAATCTGTGGTCATAGATGGGAAGGTACTTTTTTCGAGATCGTTTGCTTTAGTTAATGTTATTTGGTCATGGTATAGGTTCAACGCTTCTTTCAACACTGTAATGTTATTTTAGAGGCGAGGCTTTTGAATTTAATGTCCATCTCTGATAGGACCGAGTCAAATGGAGAGCCTTAAAAATTCACCCAAACAACCCAAGTTCAGAACACCCCATTGAGGATTCGAACCATGGCTATCGGGCTCCGGAGTCCAGCATGATATTAACTGACCTAAGGTGCACCCTTCAAGCGTTCGATGACAATTCTCGAAAGGGTAAAGGAAAAACAAACGTTAGAGTTGGATCCCATGAATCATTTGGACTTTTACTGATCAGGGCCAGTGGCGACGTCATTGACTGTCCCCTCTGTCAAAACACGGAAGTTACAGGTTTGAACATAATATGTAAAACCCCCATTGTTAGAGGTTTTATGGAAAAACTCCCCTTAACTTGCCTAGGAAAATTGTGAATGTTCTATTTCTTTGAGTAAAGATAAACTTATGAACACAATAAGGGCCACTTAGTCCTGAGAAAAAGTAAGACAGACAGACAGAATCACCAATCAACATAGAGAAAATAAAGAAGTAAGACCTACCAGTGGTGCTCTCCAACCACCAACGTGAATGTCTACTTTGTGTATTCCCTTTACTGGTATTATGAAACTGACTGGCGAAAACGTAACGTAACAGATTTGATAAATCGAGTAAAAGATTGCTTCCTTAGAATTGCAAAATTCTATCTGACAGTTTTGGCCGTTTTCAGTTACTAACTAAGACCATGAGGTCAGAAACCAAATTATGTTCTATCTGTGCTAGCTAAAAGAAAATACGCCAAAACAACACAATCCTCCCCCCCCCCAAGGGCGCCGAACAGTGGGGACAAGCAATAACTGCATGTAAGTGAAATTGTTCTGCATTTCTGTAATATTGTTCACTTGGTTTCTTTGTATGAACGAGTAATTTGGGCGATTAATTAGGTATTTATGCATGTATCTTTGCCATTGTAACCAACTTATTTCCCCACTAGGATTCTAAAGTATAATTTATTCATTTTAATTTATACAACAATAATCCTTTGAACACTGATAATTTATTTCTGGAGTACAGCCAGAGCATCGCGGTTCGAGACTGGCTCGTCGTCCAGATTACATCACTTGTGACCGTCCTGCCCCGGATGTAGAAACGTGTTTCGCTGTCTTGGCAAAAGGACTGCGAATGTCCGGTAGGTCTCAACAGTCCATCTGCGACTTTCGCTCTTCCTCGCTGTCTCCCTGTCTCTTCATGTTTCGTATTTTGTTTTTTTTCTCAAGTGAAATTGTGTCTCCATTAGTGTAAAAACCCCGAGGTCTAATCTCTCTCTCTCTCTCTCTCTCTCTCTCTCTCTCTCTCTCTCTCTCTCTCTCTCTGTC